CTTACCCCCCATTTTCCAACCATCCAGACTGCGATCCCGACACTTGGACCGGACACCGGACTCCGGACAGTCCGGATCCCTGCCCGGGTGTCCGGATAGTAGCTACGGTAATTTGCATACGCCACCTGGACATGTGAGAGTCTGCATACCCCAGTAGTCGGGCACGACAACAATTCGGGTAGTACCAGCAGGGGCCCAGGCATGCCAATAATTTGCACAGGGCACAAACACAAGCTGGATTCTTTCCCCGGCGCCAATTATTGTAGCAGCAAAAACCCTGGTGGGTCCGGGCATGCCAATAATGTGCACACAGTATGGCGACAAGATGGGATCTTTTCCGGGTACAACACCAATTAATGCAGCAGAAAGCGGTGACAACTTTTCTACCCTGCAGTTCAGATAAGCAAGACCAGTTGGGACCCCTTTACACTGACATACCCCTAAGTGGGCCATACACCAACGGTCCCTAGCAGGTACGAAAAGGAGTCATTGGTAGCATGGACCAACAGAAGGGGGTAATTAGTACCAAAAAGGGGTGATAAGTTCCCGAGCAGGTACCAAAAGGGGTCGGTGGTGGAATGAACTGGAAGACCCCTAGCAGAAAAAAGAGAAAAAAAAAGGTCCCTACCATTGGCACTATAACGGGTCATTGGTACCAAAAAGGGGTGATAAGTTCCCTAGCAGGTACCAAAAGAGGTCATTGGTGGAATGGACTGGAATGTCCCTAGCACTGGCACGAAAACGGGGGTCATTGGTACCAAAAAGGGGTGATAACTTTCCTAGCAGGTACCGAAAAGCGGTCATTTGTACGGTGCAAAAAAGGGGTGAAAACCGGCAACGGGCCTATGAGCTAATCTCAGTTTGGAAATCCCAGGACTTTACCGTAGTTGCCCAGTCATAACGCACGATCCAAATGGCCAGCCGGACGCAAGATCTCCACCGTGACAGCGCAAAGGTCCAAGACTCGTTCTGACGGCAATTCTTTAACAATCATTTCACAGACTTAAGCATTTTCCTTGTATCACCACGTGTACAACATTGTGATTAAAATTATATAAAAAGAACTGTGATGAGCTTAAGTGGCGAAAAGGAGAGTGGCGACGTTGGGACAGAACGCGACACGTGCCAACAACATGAGATCGCCCTGCCAAGCGCGCAGCTACCCCAGTCGGCGACGCTTATCTTTCACCTTGTTTTTCTTTCTTTTTTTTTCCATGTTTTGTTTTGCCTTTTCAATCGTCTTCCATCTTCCACGTCAGCTTCCCGTGCCATCTCATCCATCGCAGTTATAACACCAGCGCCCCACATTCCCTCGCTTCAAACACCGCCACGCGGCATTACGTTACCATTGCAAAGCTGTCAATTCCTGTTGCTAGGTCATTACCCCCTCCACGCAGTCATTGATTGGGGTGCGGGTTTGTGGGTGGGCGGGTGGGGGTGGGGGTGGGAGAGGAGGGGAGTAATTAAGCAAGGGGCGAGGCAGCAGAAGAAGGGGGAGGGATAAGAATCTTATGTTCCGACTTCACATCCTTCCTCTCCTCTTCTTACGCCCCACGCGCGACTGCGACCAAAAATAACACATTCACTTTCAAAAAAAATCAAGAATATCGTGCTGCTGCCCACGAATAGATTGGAAAACTGAAAAAAAAGAGAAGAAAAATCAAGAATATGCCCCCTCGAAGTAGGGAATCGGCAAATATCACAATAAGCTATTTATAGTTACGTAGTATTGTCAAGTAGCATTATCACGTAGTTTTGCCACGTAAAATACTTCCACGTAGATTCGTCTGCATGAAACGTAGTCTACGTAGAATACATGCATGCACCTCGCGTACATGCATGCACGTAATGTGACCACCTTGGCGCGCAGAATACATACATGCATGGCTCGAAGTATACGTGCATTGGCACGTAGTACATGCATGCAGACGCATGCAGTCACAAATCAAGTACAACTCAGCAAAGATGCGCTACTGCCACGTACACTTAGAGCACTACGTAGCATACAGTAACAAACGAACGAGGCGATAATGACTACGTCCACGTGCGGTGGCATGCAGTACATGCATGCAGACGCATGCAATCACAACATCACGTACAACTCAGGATAGATGCGCTACTACCACGTAGAGCCACGTAGACTCAGAGCAGACGTTTATAGTAACAAACAAGGCAATCATGCTGTAGTGCCACGTGGCGTCGGGTACGTTACATTTGATTTTTTCTATTCACCCTTATAATAGATTCCACACAACCAAAAAAAAAAAAAGATTCTACGCATATAGATTCCCCGCATTGATTCTACGCATGTAGATTCCATGCATGGATACCTATGGAATCGTTATCTATCCATATCTTTCTCTACTTTCGCATCTGGATTCAAACTCAGGTCTGCGTTTAAACACTTCATGGTGGATAACTACGGAATGATTATCTAATATCTATCCATTTCTTTATCTACTTTTGCATCTGGATTCGAACTCAGGTCTGCATTTCAACAGTTCATGGGTGGTGTAAAGCAGCTGTCAGTGAGCTATCTTCGCGCTAAATACAAATTTTGCGGGGTTAACAATTGCTATCTGCTGCCTCTTCAGATCCAACCAGCATTTACGCAGCTTTTGCCACACCCCTTCGTCAATCCATTATGCAAAAGTTAATGAACATGTGCCTGCAAGGCTGGATCTGGATGATCTCTATCTCCTTATAACTTCTGTGTCATTTGGTGCTTGCGTTGGGCTTCATCTTTCTTTTTTTCTCTTTTTTCCTTTTTTTTTTTTCCCCTCTCAAAATTTCACCTTTCATTATCTACCTATGTGGTTGTCTGATATACACTCTCTATTTTTTCCATTTTTCCCAACTAAGAAATCTATTCAAAAATCAATGTCGACAAATGGGGGGCGCGTTCGCGAAATTAAGCGAACCGGTACAAATAATACTGTAATTGTGTCTTACCCGAAAAAGATAAACGCCGGACGAAAATAAATAAATGAAAATTTGGACAATCAGTGTGCTATCATCAGGCGAGAATCTCAAGATCGGTTCATGTGATGGCACCAAAAAACGCGCAACATTGTAAGGGGAAAAAAAAAGCCCAAATTACTCCTCGGATTTACAGATAGAGAGAGAGAAAAAAAAAAGGGCCAAAAATGTGAGAGGCAGACGCGCCAGAAAACACAGATTTGATTGATCATTCACACGACGTCCATCCAGGGCGCAGTTGCCAAGACTCTGCCGCCTTTATTAAAAAAAAAAAAAGAAAAAAAAAAGGCAGCAGCCGCTTTTGCCTTCGAATTTGTCATTTGACAGAGAAAAAGGAAGTATGTCAGAGTCAACGGCGCCAGCAAATTCCATTTTTTCCAAGGAATTAATTTAAAAAAAACAAATCTTGAAAAGTTGAAACGGCTGCGCACGTGCAGAAGCCAGCAGCAGTTACCTCCCCTCCCCCCCCCCGGCCTCCCGGCCCCCGGCCCAACCAGTGACTGCCCAACATGTTTTCGAAAAATGTCGAATTCGGGGTGCTCCTGGTTGGTTTAATTTTCTAGGTCATTAACTTTTTCAACTTTCTTTAAACGTTTTTCCATTTTTGGTCCGTCATCATCATTGCATACGTACAACTTATTTTTCCTCCTCCTCCTCCTCCTCCTCCTCCTCCTCCTCCTCCTCCTCCTCCGCTTCCTCCTCATCACCAATATTTTCCACACCATCGTCGCAGTCGTCCCAATCGATCGCCATCATCATCACCACTACGTTCATTTTCCCTTTTTCTTTTTTAATTACCACTGTTTTCTTTTTTGTTATTTTTCTAATCACAACCTTTCTTGATCAGACTGATGACCGCTTTCCTTGCTTATGTTCTTGTTCGACAAACCGGTGCATAGGGATCGGGGTCCGGGGGTCGGGGGTCGGGGTCCGGGGGTCGGGGGTCGGGGTCGGGGTCGGGGTCGGGGTCGGGGTCGGGGATTGGGGATCGGAGGTAAGAATCATGACACGTGTTCACGTGGTGCAGTCCTCCCACCGTGGTTCTTTCCATGTCAATGGAGGATCACACGAAGAAGAAGCACAAGAAGAAGAAGCACGAACAGGAAGGGAGGGAGGAGGAAAGGGGGGAGGGGAGGGGGAGGAAAAGTATCTGAACGTGGAAAAGAGCAACTGCAAGGTCGTATCCCTACAACGCAACCCAGCCAGAAGGAGGGGAGGTAGATAGGTACGACTTGGGAGTACAAGAACAGGGAAAAGCACGAGCAGAATGCAGAAAGAGGGACACGCGGAATCGCAAGGAGAACGCAGGACAAGTAGAGGACTCTCTCAATGCAGGCAGTCAGCCAATCTGGCATAACTCCCAGCATGGTGTGTCTATGAGCGTCACTATCAGCGTGTGTGTACGAGAGACAGTAGAGGATCTCTACCCTCTCTCTCTCTCTCTACCCTCTCTCTCTCTCTCTCTCTCTCTCTCTCTCTCTCTCTCTCTCTCTCTCTCTCTCGCGCGCGCGCGCGCGCGCACATTCACACACTCCTGAGCCACACGTGAGCAACTCCCCCCCCGCACCACCCCGCCCTACCCCTTCACCTAGGACCCCCAACCACAACCAAAGCACGACAGCCACGCGTACCCAAGATGACACACCTCAATCAAATCGAAGCTTGACGGCCACGTGTCAGGTGGGCTGTTGTTTTGGTTTTTCTTTTTTTCTTTTAACAAACGGGGCCAGTGCACAAGGCTGACATCAGTCATAGGAGAAGCGTCCGTACTCAGGGGCCAGCTGGCCTCAACCCGCTCTCCAGGCGCAGACTCGCCCCTGTGACCACAAGGCAAGAATTAAGAATTCTTTTTTTTTTTTTTTCCTAATTCAGGAATTCTGTTCATCTGGTGCCATCTGAATTCGAACTCAGGTCTGCATTCCAATCCAACAGATTATGGGTATATCAATGATCCAAGCCCGTTGGTTGGGATTAAGAATTCGAAGCAGCTAATCCCACAAAAAATACCCTGTTGTCCTTACCGCACGTGCTGACGGAAGCCCCGCGACGGGGCATCTGCTCTGTAGCCACACGTCGAACATTTCACCCATCATGACCATATCGCCACGTGTCGCGAGGTGGGGCTCCACGTGGAGCTCTCCGTTCGTCGATGAAGCTGGTGCAGCCACGTGGCGACTGCCTGTTATTTGGTTCCCCTCCTGCACCTCGCTAACGTATCTTCCGTTAGAACGACGAATGATACACCCGCCAGAGTTCTTGGCTTCTTCACATTCGTTGAAAGGGTAATAACACGCTAGCACTTTCCTGGATGTATCTGGCGGCTATGATGACCCACCATGGATGTATCTGAGCTCGATTACGGCCCCCACGGCGGGGACTTGTACGGCCGTACGCAGTTTTGGGGGGATTTTCGGGGCCTACTCTTACACTAGCACCGTCTTACACGCATCTAAACGCCTTTACGGCTGGCCCTGCATGCATCTGGCGCAAATTCCTTCCAGATATAAGTAGAAAAGTGTCATCGTGAATGTGTCAGCAGCACTCTGTGAGCCTCCTCCGGATTCAATAAAGAAAGTCTCTGCCACACAGAAAGGCAAGCGACCGTTGCGGCCTGCGGGCCTAGCTCAATTGGTAAGGCACAGAAGTTGCATTCAGGAGGTCGTGTGTTCAAACCCCACCATCCACGTGGTTGGAGACACGCAAATTGACGAACTCAAGATGGGGACCACCGCCTGTCGTGAAAGGGGGTCACTGGGAAGGACCACCCCTTGGTCAACCCCCAACCATGTCTAGGAGACCCAGTTGATCGGGTTTGTGAGCGTGAGGTTCGGGTAGGATTAGGAACTATGTGCCTGGGCAAGCTTGGTGTTCTACCCGCTAGAGATAGCCCTTTGGCCCCCCAAACCAGCATTGGGAGGACCTTGGCTGATGTTGTTGGCTGCTATGCAGGGACAATATTGGCCATTAGACACTGCCATGTGGGGTTTGGGGGGGGTAGGGGGAGGTGCAGTGACTGGTCACTGCTCAGCGCTAGCACTGCCGATTTCCCCCATCGGGAATGCCTGCCCACCCCTCGTCACCGTGATGAGCGATTGGTACAGCCTTGCTCTCACACCACAGCTGTTGTGCAAACCCTTACCCCCTGGGCTGGGGAGAAATCCAGGTTGGTTGGTGTTCCCCTGTACTATACATAGACTAGTGAGAGGATGAGATAGATGCGTGCTACCAAGAAAGATGAAATAGATGAGAGAAGAATATAGCTTACCTTTTGAATAAATAAATATAAAAAAAAGTGACCGTTGCCCACAGCACGATAGGGAACCTACCTATTGGACAGTTGGGGAAATTTACTTCATCCCCACTGGGGCCAGCGCCCGTAGGTGGTTCAGTCAAGGAAGGTTGTGGATTCAAATCTCCTGATACGCTCTGTGTACTTTTCACCAGCTCACATCAGCAGGGCCTTAGCCAGGGTATTAGACACCAACTAAGGTCTGGACCCCACAGGCGTGCGGAAAAGCGTGGTTTTTGGCGCGGAGTTTTTTTTCAGACCCCACAGCCCGTCAAGCGTGGCCTGGAAGACCTTCAGCGTAGGTGTAATGCTGGCGGAATCCTTCGTGGCATGATGGATTTCGAAAAAAAATGCGGAAAGTACATGGTACATCCCAGACAGGGCCTCCGTCGCGAACGGAGGCAGCGGGTGTCGACGTGAAACCACCCTCCGTCCCAACGGGTGGATATACCCCCCACTTTCCTGTTCGGGGAAAAAACGGACGTTTTTCCTTTTCCGGTAAATGAATGCGGCCGGGTCGCCTAGCCTTCTGGTCGCAGTGGGGTCCCACCGTCCTCTGAAGGTCAGTTCACGGTGGACAAATGCCTATATGTGCGGCTCAGCTTCCCTCTTCGCTTTGCCGCGATGTCGTGGGTTCCACCCCTAAATGCTGACTCCCTGACATCATGGCTGGCATCACACTGAGTGCTATTGTCTCCCTGGAAATAAGACCTAAACAGCATGTTCAAGTAAGGGCCTCGTTCCACACCACACGAAACTCAAGTACTATAGGCCTCGTTCCACACCACTCGAAACTCAAGGATTTCTTGCCCAACACCGTTCCATGGTGCCCTCGTGTTCCGCTAATCACGGTCCGCCCATAATTAGTTTTTCAGGTTTAGCAAACGGGCGGGAAAAGCTCAAGGGCGGCTCAAGTGCAGCCCACGCAAACCTACCTGTTTTCCAAGTCACCTCTCTAACCACACTTGAGCTGCACTTGAAAACGGCGCTCCAGGTGTGTGTATAACCCTCCGATAGGTTTTTTTTCCCCATTTATTCTCCTTTTTCTACCACGTTTGTCCTGGTTGAGCCTCGCGCGAGCTGTTGCAGTACCGTCCCCGCTCATTTTGAGGGCGGACTCTACTTACCAGGGATACGCCTACCTAAGGGTGGTGACAACCCCTCAGGTAAAGGCGAGTTGTAGTACCTTGCGGAGCTCTGTCCTGTCGCAGAGAGCTATAAAAGGTATTATTTGGCGCGCATGGTCAGAGTGGTATCTCCGCCGACTCAACGCAATAGTTTACTCCTATGTGACACGACCGTGAGGTCCGACACTTATCGCAGGGTGTGGGACCGTGGTGCCCAACAAAACCCTTTTAAGCCTTGGAAAGGACGGAAGATGATATTTTTATCTAATGGCATACTGGTTGCTGAAATGGGGGACAAAATAAGAGGAATATAGAAAAAATATGGGGAAGGGAAAATGAAACAAAATTGTTGATTTTGGTTTCTTTCGAGAAGGGTCTTACTGTAGTGCTTCCCCTTGGGCTTGCCCTGTGGGGTAGAAATGAATCTGCCACGTTCAACCCCAGACACCCTCATGGCGGCCCTCTTACTTTTTGGACTGCGTATGTGCACCCTGTTGGTAAATCAGTGGCTTGGGAAGGCAGTAGGTTGGCTTCCCAAAACTTATAGGGTCGATACTTCTCCCATCCATTATGCTTTAAAGAGGCTGTAAACACAACGCGACCTTCGAGGCTTGGCTGAAATGAAATGACTGATGACGCTAGCCATTTTTTTTCGAGTTCATGTCTGCACCAATTTGACAAAACTTGGAGTTCATTTCCGCAATCTGTACTGTCTCAAGTTGTTTTTTCTTAAGCACTCAAAATACCTGAGCTAAAATCACAGAAATAAAGAAACGAATCAATGCTTCCTTTCGTAAGGGATTTTGAAGAACAATTTCCTTATTTGCTTGTCCAAATCCACCCATATTTGGATTATTTGTTAGAGGCTGATCTACCGTACATGAAACTTTTAACTCATATGGCGGCGTTGGGAAAAAAAGGCTTGGAAGTACTGGTGGTTAATGTGTTTTAGGGCCTTGTTCCACACCACTTCATTTCACTTGAGTTTCAAGTGTCATACTTGAGCCGCCTTCCATCGCAATCGTCATTAAAAATACTCGAAGTTGTCACCGTTCCACATAACCCTTGACTTTTACTCCAGAAAAGGAGCGGAAAAATGGCGGACTTTGTTCGCACTTGAGCCACGCTCCATCTGAGAAAAGAAATAAATAAAAAAAAACGAAGGGGGGGGATTGTACCACACCTGCAACCACCTCACGACACTTGCTTGCGGCCTTTTGAAGTGCGGCTAAAGTGTGGTTGGGGAGGTGACTTGAAAAATCCCCCCAATAGCCTGGTCCGCACTTGAGATGCACTTCAGTTTTTCCCGCCTGTTTGCTAATCCCGGAATCCTAACGTCCGGAACAGGATAAACAAAACTCAAGTGCACCGTGAAACGGTGTTGGACATCGACTTGCACTGGAGCCTTCTACCACTTGTTCAATACCAAACAATCTAAATTCACACAAGTAGCCAAATGAATCATACTGGAGTATCGAACTATGCTTTCAATACCACTTAATCCACATATATACAAACACAAGGATAGTAATAATTTTTTTTATGCCTCGAAATAAAGGGAAAACAAAAAGTGAAAAGAAAAAAAAAACAAATTAGTAAGGGGGCAAATAAGTTTTGACACCACCATCTTTGCCGATTCTGCATTTTTTTTGGCTGAACAGAATGGCTTCAAAATTAAGAGGGATCACAGAGAACTCATAAAACAAAAATATGAAAAAAAATAATAATATTAAGGTGTTCAAATATTATTTTTCGAGGTTCGAACCCCTTTAGATTCGGGCCCCGTATGGGGACCCGAACGTCCGAACGTTGGGGGGTCAGCTAAGGGGCCTCCGTACGTTTGACCTGGCAACCCTGTGTATGCCTCTAGTTCCAGCGGCGTGTCTGGAGTGTATTTTTTGGCTGTGACAGACCTTTCTTTGTTTCGTGGGTGTTTTGCTAGCTTGTGATGGGGTGTGAACCGACAGTCTGTAGAGTTTTCCATCTGGTGTGGGTGAGTGATAGTCTACTTTGATTTTGGT